AATAGTGGCTATAAGGGAGAATAAGGATCATACTAGGGTCCTCTTATATTCCTATTATACCACTATTACAGGGTGGGGGGTCCTCCTAAGGTTTAGGGTTCATAGGGTGTATAGCGTTGATAGGACTGAGGTTTAGGCTGTAGAGGCTTCAGGATCTAGAGGCTTGAGGGTTTGGGGGCTTTAGGATTTAGGGGCTTCAAGGTTTAGAGGCTGTAGGGTTAAGAGTTAAAAAGGGGCGTTTGGCGTGCATGGACGGGGGCATTGCAGCAATTGATACGCAAATTGGAAAATGGAAACTGAAACAGAGAGTGAATTTGTGGAGCTTCGTTGGCTTTAGGGCGAACCCCAAACCCAAAACCATCATAGGCTAACCGAAGTCATAATCCTGTAAGATGCTATAGCCCTTCTAGGTTTGAGGGTCTTGGGGGTTTGAGGCGGTTCTAGGGTTAGAATGTTGCCGCAGGCGCCTCTTTCTTGAGGAATAGCATCGTTTCATATTCCTACGTCGGTTCATGTCTGTGGAGCATCCTGAATGCTCTCCAGGCACTTTAAACCCTAAACCCTCCCTTACTCTGGCTGCCCATGCGTGGCAACCACGGTTGGGCTTTGGCATTCAGGATCTGGTTTAGCGTTTAGCCTCCGCGGCCTGGGTTTATTGGTTCAGTGTTTAGGCTTGAGGCTTAGGTTTCGGGGGAGCTCTAAAGGATGTCAGAGGCCTTAGGTTTAGGGTTGGGGGGTTTGGGTGTTAGGGTGTATGGTTTAGGTTGGGGCTGGCGCTTTGGAAAAGGGAGCCTTCATGCTGAAACACCGCTATGTGCTCAACGAAGTCGCCAACTTCGCCAGCCTGCACAATCCTGTTTGCCTGTTGGGTGAACTTCTTCAAGTACAAGAGCCGAGGTGCCGCCATCTTCTTCACACCGAGCTGTATACAACAGCAGCGAATCTTGTTTCCACCAAACCTAAAATCTAAAGCTTCTACCCCTTCCCCTCCTTATGCTGGGCAGGTAGCAAAGACCATGGAGCCACACCAGGCCTGTTAAAAGCAGACTTCCTGGGGTTTATAGAGAATTTAGGGATTCAGGAAGTAGGCTAACATAATTGGGCTTATCATACGGCTTGGCTTACCTTACAAGTTATAGGCGGGGGATGTAAGTATACATACCTCATACTCGTTAGTCCGCCCTACCCCCCCAAATAAGGTCTCAGCTTAGGATTTCGGATTTGGGATTGGGGTTTATGGTTTGGGACCTAGTTTTTACTGCTTTGGATCAAACTGTTGGACCCAAAATTACAGGAATCAGTCTGGGCTACTCATTCGCGGGAAAGGAGCTAGGGTGTTTCTGCGAGAGTGGGCTTCAGGAAATTGCGGGTCCCTTTGTGGAAGTACATAACCCTATGAGCCACATTTTCAACTCCTGGCATCCCCCTTAGCAACCCTTATAGTAGTGCCTGATGTACTCCCCTATATAGCACCCTTTAAGGAGCTTAGACTATAGATCGTATGTGCATCTGGCCAGAGGCACAACCAAGGGCCGGGGATGCGGTTTGGGGGCAAGGATTGATAGTGACGTTTGCTTTTTGAGTTTTAAGCTTCTGAGGTCTAGGGTTGTTGGTTGAATGTGTAGGGTATGGACGGCAGAGGATGCGCGCGGTACTGTCGATTGCATCGTCCCTATCACTCTACAAGAATACATTGAACACTGAACCCGACTTCGTAACTGTCAGAATGTACATTAGGCTGCATCCCTGAACCTGAGTTCTTGGCATGCGAGCCCCAAATCCAAAGCCTGTAGCCCCACGGTTTTGGCTGGACCGCTGTTCAAGAACCTGAATTCAGGTACCGTAACAAGAATACCGTATAGCTTGGGCATTAGAGTTTGGACATGCGCGCGCAAGCTCGCGCAAGGGCAAGCGCAAGAAAAGATGGTTTGCCATGCATGTTGGCTATGATCATATTTGTATACAATATGTTGACTTAAAATGCATTGGTGAAATTCCTTTACAGCAAACCAGTCAGGGTTTGGGACAAATGGTGCAGAGCTCCCGCACGCCAGCCGCTTGCCGCATGAAGGCGCAATCGATTTTCCAGCTCTGTCTAAGCTTCTTGAAGGGAAGCATACAGAAACTATGTAGGACTTCTGCGGTTTGGGCGTTTCCTTATAGGGATGCCAGGACTCCGTTCAGGAATGTCTCTACTGCCCCGGCACTCTCCGCACTCAGGGCCACAGGCAGAAAGCCCCGAAGAAGATGCAAGCAGTAATGAGCGTTAAGCCCTCCGACTGGGGAGTCCATTTGGGGGATGGCAAATCCATTTTTGGGGTGTCCCCATAATAAATAAGGAGCATATTTATCATGTGGGAGCCTGTGGAGGGGTTCCCCGTTTATGGCAACTGGCATGTCTCCCCTACTGTGCGGCCTCGCTGCACATGCTTCTTGGACGTTGGCTCCTTCCGCTATCAGACCACGTGCCAGTGGCACAGGAGAAACGTCCTCAAGTCTTGCTGGCTGAAGCAGGAATACGCAAGCTGCGCACAACAGCCGATCGCTGCCATGGACTCCCGCGACGTAGCACAAGCAATCTAGATAGAACTGAGGGAAAATGAAGGGCCTCGGCATAGAAGGAAAAGAACCCAGAAAGCTCGTAAGCCTCCATCCCAATATTTTCCGACAAGCAATTAGAGGTCCTTCTAGATGGGGCGCAGTGAATGAGGCTTACATTGAAGGGACTGGGGGATACCAGGTATACATGCTCAGGGTGCTTGTGGGGTGTTATGAGCCATGGACTAAATCAGTACCTCAGTTGGGGTTCGCATGAGGATACTAAGGATCCTGACTGAGGCTAAAAAAGGACGTCAAAAATGAGGCCAGCTGAAAATTCAGTTGGGGCTCATATTAACACTGTTTAGGTTTTAGGGTTCAGGATCTCTCGGCGAGGAGCATATAATGACGACTATAGGCAGCCATTCCTCCCTTCCCTATTAACAACCATGAAGTAAACCCTTAACCTTTAACCCTATAAACCCGAAACCCAACAACCCCTATATAGCATACACCCTAAACCCTATAAACCCTAGACCCTATAAACCCTAGACCCTAGAAACCCGATGAACCCTAAACCCTAAACTCCTTTGAAGACAAGGCCCTCCACCATCCAGCCGGCCACGGCCTGCATCTGTGCCCGCCAACTCGCCAGCATCTTCGATGAAGGCATCTCGTCTCTGCCGGTGGTTTAGGGTCCTTAGGGTTCAGGGTTTAGAGTTTAGGGTTCGGGGTTTAGGGTTTAGGGTTAAACTCTAAGCCCTACACCTCAGGGCATGTATGGGGCGCGCGCATGCGTTGTGAACGTATTGGGGACCTGTTCCCCCACTCCTACTTAACCACCGGTAGGTTTTGAAGGGGCATGTAGTCAAGGATCTTATTTCTACAGGTGATACAGGGTGTATTTAATCCAAACGGCTTTTGGTAACCCCAACCCCGATGATAAGGACCCAAAGCCTTAAGCTCCTAAAATCATAGGGTCCTCAATTTCTGGGGTTCGGCAAACCAAAGCCCCCTAGCTAGGTGTAGGATAAGGTTTTGGGCTTAGAGTTTAGGGTAAGGTATAAGGTCTTTTGGGTTAGCCATTTCATATCAACCCTGCTGTGAAAATACGCGTTTTTCTCAAAGAACATGGAAAATGGAATGGAAACTGTGATTATGATATGGTGGTTTATCAGGACTAGAGTATGCTAAGTACGGTTTTGTATTATGGGTTTTTGCTGTGTGTGCGTGTATAGGGGTTCCTGAGGAACAGCTCTATATATTTCTGCGGGACCATAGATGAACTTTCGGCCATATACGTTTAATGCTGTACGGACCGCGTGTTGTACGAGACCTGGCCATGTAAGAAACTCCCGGGATATGTGGGGATTGCGAAGGCTTCCGGGGGCCCTACTGGAGATGTTTATAGGCGTGTAAATTGGAGAAAGTCCCATCTAGCTCGAGCGTTGTGGACTTGAGGTTGAGGATTCTGATATTTCTTCACAGGATAGTTCAACCCTAAACCCCTAACCGTAAACCCCGTCAGCGTCTGGTACGTTCTGTAGGACTGGGAACTGAAAAGCTTGACAAAATTAAATGACATATTTCCTGATTGTGCCTCCGACGGGACTGTAGCCCGCATTCTGCCTGATTAGGGGATGAAGCTGCACCTGCCCCGACTAGCTGGTTCAAGGCGAACTTACAGATTGAGCACATGGATCAGAAAAGATTATGGCTGCAGGTCCAAAGCATGTTCATTTTAATGAAGCCAGGTAGGTGACGAAGGCAGCTTCTCATTTCCTTCTCTGCATCCGCAGCAGGTTGCACCAGGCATGATGGCACGTCTCTTCCTAGCACTGCTGATGCTGATGGTGAGGGCGTTGCAACTCGGTTCCGCTGCAAATCAGTGCGGAAACAGCTCCTCATACTGTCCGTCCGGGATGGCTTGCTGCGCCGCTAAGTATTCACCCTCCACCTACGGCTGCGAGGTACCCATTGGGAATTTGTCTCGGGTGTCGGCTGGATGTGGGGATGGTCTGCCAGAGGGAGACAAGCTTTGCTGCAAGATGGGCCCAGCAGAGCCCCCTAGCAGTACTCTGGCAAATGTCCTCATCATTGGTGACTCCGTGTCTATTGGCTATGCGACCGGAGTAAGTGCGAATTTGGCGCGACGGCTGTCCGACGTGGCTAAGGTGCAGCATGGTCCTTGGGATGTCTCCGATGGAGGGGCTGGGGATACTGCAAGTGGGGTGGCCTGCCTGGACAGGTGGCTGGTGACACAGGCCCAGCAAGAGGTCAAGTGGGATCTCATAACTTTCAATTTTGGACTCCATGACCTGACAAACACCTCACATTGTGAAGGACTTTACAAACAGCAGATGGCCAACATCACGCACCGCCTTGCAGCACTTGGTACTAAGGTCTTGTTCATTACAACCACACCTTTCATGCCTCTGAGAACCCGAGGCAACACTGTTGTGGAGGACATGAATGCCATTGCAAGGCAGCTGGTTGCAGACTACAACATCCCTGTGGTCGATCTCTATAGCACTGTCACTGACATATGCGGCCCTGTGTACACTAGCTGCGCCATTTGCAGGAAGGATCCCTGCAGTTACCACTACAACGGTGAAGGTATGTCTAAGCAGGCGGCCGTTGTTGAGGCGGCCATTCGTCAGCACCTGAAGCCCTTGTATGTTGGCCTGGTGGCTGTTTAAGGCCGCCTGCTCTCTGAAGAGCGTCGTGCTGGCACTTGATGCACAGACAGAAACATGCGGTAACTCACATTGACATACGTGCAAATTCTCACACTATGAGGACTAATGGTAGCTAGCAACAACGCTTGGCAACAGTGGCCAGTATGGCGATGGCTGCATAGAAAAAGCTGCATACACTGAAGCAGCCATGGCATCAGAGGGTAAGCCCTACAATCTTCCGCTTAGTACCCCACTTCTGGTTCCCCCTAGACTTATCCCTAAATAACCTTCATCAAGTAGTCTAGGGGGAGTAGTAGGAGGACCCATGAATAAGAAGTGGGTGAATTCTAGAGTAGCTTCCATTTCACTTTCCATTCCTCTTATATGCGAGTTTCCCTGAGTACGGGGACTCCACTATAGACCCAAAATTATTATGAACCCAGTTGTAGGGAGTCCACAAAGGGACCACTATTTTTTGGAGATGCTGATGTAATCAGTTGTGAACTTTCTATATGTGGTGGCTAGTCGCAAGACACTTCCTCCTTCAGCTTCAAAGCCCACATTCGACGTCTCTATTACAAAGCATGACATCCGGCTGCGCATTTGTAGATCTTGAGCACAAAGTCAGAGGTGCTCAGGCCCTAGTGGTGTGAGATGGCAAGCCTCAAGAACAAATGATGGGCTTCAGACGCGTCTAGACATTGATGGGCCCTAGGTATTCAGGGACCCCCCCCCCCACCCACCCCCTAATATTACATATTCCTTCCGCTATATAACAGTACCATACTGGAGGGGGCGTTTGTAATTAGGGGGTGGGGGGTTTGTCATGGTCATCATGCTCCCCTTTTTCAAGCCTCGTCCCTTGCTGTACAATGAAGCGGGCGGTTTAGGGCTTAAGGCTCAGGGCGCGATCTACATGTTTCGATGTTATAGAAAACCTTGTGGAAAATCTTCTCTCCAAGATGAGATACCTGTGGCCACGCAAGTCTTAGACCCAAAGCTTAAGCCTAAGCCCAGACCCTGGAAGTCGTAAACCCTAATTCCAAAAACCAAAACCTACATTCTGATTGCTAAGCCAATTACACTCTAAACCCCAATTTAACAAAACCCTAAATTAAAGTTACAACTTTAGGCCTAGGACATTCCATGTAAACGCCAGGCCAACTCCCCGCGAAACTCCGCGTGCCAGGAGGCGCACTTTTCCATATTCTTTACTCCCATGATTAGGGCATGAGGGGTAGACGTGCATGGGCGGGGGTACTGGGCTATACGGCGGTAGGGTGCCAGGGTGCAGGCTTGTGCACAAGGCAAGACTTAGGGTTTTCGATGCAAGGGAAGTGCAATAGCCAATCCAGCTTGGTTTGCTCGGTCGATTTGTAGCCCGTTCGGTTGGCAGCGCGCGGTTCTCGGGATAGGTGTGTTCTGGAACGATCTTGTATATAGGGAATGGCCCCACAACAGCCTCAGGCTCTGGAGTTCTGATGGTGTAGCGAGTATGCGGATTAGATTTAAGGGTCTAGAGTTTAGGGGCTTGGAGTTTGCATAGGAATATAAGGTCAGGGTTCTTGGGTCTAAGGTCTGTCTTGGGATTTAAGCTTGATACTATTTTGCAGCAATGCATGCTGTACTGTCCCTGGCAGCCTGCCGCATGGTGAAATCGCGGCCTGGGCAAAGAAGAAACTTTGCAGACATGCGCTCCGCGAGTCAGAGGAAGCTTCTGTGCAACTGGGGTTCAGGTTTTGGGACACTGGGTAAGGTTTCAAGACTAAGGGTTTTTTGTAGGAACCTAGGTTTCCTATACAATGGGCCTTGTAGAGAAAATTAACTCATCCGCAGCGCTGCCTCGCAGAGTGGGTCCTCTCCAGCGGAAAGAGAGATTTCAGGGATACCGCCTGTTCCTGTTTCGTAGCAGCAGGCTTAGCAACGAGGAGTCTTCAGCTTGAAAGGTAGGAGTTTTCCCTATGATTAGACCATGCCTCCTAAGCTCTCACACAGTTAGCTGAAGCACAAAGTATGCAAAAGACCTATATAAGTTGGTGCAGTCCCTACACCCTAGACGTCACCCTCACCCTCAAATCCGTGCATAAACCCTGGACCCTTGGACCCTTCAGTAAGTCTCAACCCTAAACTCCAACCTTGGATCTTGCCCCCTACAACACACCTGTATCGTGCTTGGAGAAATGCTATACCCTTCATAGGGGCCATACATGACGGTCAACGGGCGGCAGTCGCCAACCTAAATCCTTAACCCGAAGGCTTAAATTTGAAACCACAAAAAGTGTATCCAAAAAGCAAAGCGCCCCAGAGTCTCTCAGGATCGAGGATCCGATTCCCATTCCGCCCTGACCTCCTCGCGGAGAACCTCGCAGGCGTGCGAATTGAGAATGCACATGCAAAGCAAACTTCGCAAGCCAAATGCAATCGCAAAACCCGCCATCCTTTTGTCACCCGCATCCGCGCAGTAAATGCTTGCGCTTTCCATCATGCCTCGACATATTCTTCAGATAATTTCTACATCTCTTCACATAGCCCCTCTAGCATTCCAAGAACCGCCCATGCGGCTATTTCTCACGTACAGATGGCCCCTGCATCATCCAAACTAAGGCCCTGTATAATCTTGAATCCCGATTAGTGCTGGGGGACCTCATGAAGTCAAGTTTTTTTTTGAAAATTGTTCTGGACACACCATTCAATTTTTTGGGGGGGATCCCAATGAAAAAAATCGGCCGTAAAAACTCAAGGGACAGTGTTGATCAAGTTCCTTTTTAATTGGTTCTGAAGAGATTTTCTATGATTTCAATATCCTTCAATTAGACTGTAATTGCTTGTACTTGGTTTTTGAGACCAGGCCGTGTAACGTAAAGGCCGAGGACCCTGCCCTTCCTATTCTCTTGAAAGCTAGAGCGAGCAAGTCCGTATGGATTTAAATAGGAGCCGAAGGATCCCTTTTCCTTATTGATTTTAATAGGAGCCATAGGATCCCCCAGACCCCCAATTCCTTTTGAGGCCTTTTTATTATAGGGGCTCCTCTTTTTGTTTCGGGGGGGAGGGGGGGGGCAAACACTAATCAGGCCTCAACATTGCACTCCATCTGTAATCCTCGCTCTTCGCATATCTGTAGTAGGATCACTATGAGTACCCCGATGCTGAGAAACTTTCATCATCCTCAAACCCACGACACCATAACTCGGTTCTGAGAACACCCCGTTTTGGGCCTTTACATCCCGTCCCTGTACAAGTCATTGTGAAAACCCATTTGTGGTGGTATAATAAGGATTACGTCCTTGCACGTCACAAACTGTGAAACGTGGAGCTTAAGTTGGACAAACGAGAAGTGGAAAAACTATCGAGAACAATAACGATACTGTCCAAAGCTTGGAAAATATAAGTAGGCTGACAAAGCAACAACACAATTTCGGGTCAAGCCCAAAGGACTTTTTTCCATACTAGCCCACTTTCCGCTTGAGTTACCAGAATTTGATGTACATCCGATTTCCTTGTTGTCTCTAAGAGCGCCATAAAATCTAGACGGTAGCCCATGACATTCTCGGCGCCTCGGGCCAGATTAGATCCGCTAGCATCCCCAAGAACAGCCAGCCCCCTAGCTTTAGGGTTTAGGGTTTCTAGGGTTTAGGGTTTTTAGGATTTAGGGTTTAGGGTATAGGGCCCTCAATGCCCAAGAAGTCGAGGCTGCCCAAGAAGAAGACTGCCCAGAACGTTCACAAGACTGCGTGGTTGTATGTAAGGAATAAAGGAATGGAAGCTAAGATGCGATTTTTGCTGTATAATGTGGTGGATTACATAGTGGCTTGTATACGACTCCCTTCCTCGATGCCCTACGAGCAATCAGTAAGTGATCATGGCGGAAGAGCGCGGTTTAGGATTTGAGGGTTTGACCCTGAACTAGACCCTAGACCCTAAACCCTAAACATCCATAAACCCAAGACTCCCAAACATTCTAGGGTTTAGGCTATAGGGTTTTGGGACCCTAGGGTTTAGGGACCCTAAACCCAAAACCCTAAAAAGCCTTAATTTCCAACTTAGCCTGCCCAGGTGGTCACTTGGCAAGTCACCACGGTCCACACGCCCAAAGCGGCTTCACCCAGAGCGCCCTTCGGCCTGAGAAGACATTTTCGGACAGGGCAAAAGGAATTTCTGTTGTAGAGTGTAGTGTTCAGGCTCAGAGTTTTGGGTTTGGGCTCAGGGTTTGGGATTTAGGGTTTTTAGGCCTGGCTGTTGCTCAGGAACTTAATCAGAGATACCTAAAAGGAGGTCGAATGGCAACCATAATGGAACATCAAAACGAAAGATGGGTTATATCACAGCGAAGCAAGTGGCCCTTGCTGTGGCTTAACGTGCCAGGATATGAATGTGCGGTGAAGCATGCTTGGTCTGTCCATTAACAGCAACCCAGCTTAAAGCGGGGATTGGATAGGTTGGGAGCCTTTCTAAACCGGCTGAGGTCTCAAGTGAAATGAGGGTTTAGGAGGCTTGTTGAAAGGCCAGCGGTTGAAGAAGTTGGAGCTTTGTGCCGGAGGTTCAGGACTTTCGAGGTTGTTTTGTTGAACCGTGCTTTCTTATTTTACGGCTAAAGTGGTGTTCAGGCATTAAACGTTGTGTCTTCTGTAATGGGTGGAAATGTCGGGCTCAGCAGCGCAGCATTGAAGGCATGTGGGGCGAAAGGATTTTGGGCTGTGAGAGGTGGCTTTAGAGCTCCCGCGTATAGAGTTTTCTTGTAGCTACCGTCTGACATCATTCCTATTTGTTGACCTCTTTCCTCTCGTTTAAATTCTTAAAGCTTGATTGCACAGCGAAGCTCTGAAATTGGCTGCGGCGGATGAGGATTGTAACTCCGTCGCAGGGCTCGTTGACAGCAACCTGGAAAATTCTCAGGTGGCTACTGTTGAGATGGCTGTGTTTGCACCGGGCTCAACCTGCCCCTACCTCCAAGTAGCAGTTCCCCAAAATAGCCACGCACCAATACAGACCCTAGAATATTCTAGTCCGTATAACAGGGACCC